GCTGGTGTGAAATAGACAGTGGGGCGCAGCTGGACAGGCATTGAACACCATTTTATAATTTATTTTATCATCTATATGACTGTGAAACACGCAAGTGGTATTGATTAAACGGAATGTTAAAAATGTATGTGTAATTTTTTTAGCACTAGAATAGGAAACTTTTTCTGTTAATAGTTTTCATACATGAAGGTGGCTCGTGGCCAAGTGGTAACCAAGGAGGTTAACACATTGCAAAGTTAAGCAAACCTAGCCAGCTCAGTCTATGGATGGGTGAATATTCTTAACACATTGAGACCCCTCCGTGCCTCGGAGAGTACGTTATCCGTACGTTAGCCATCGGTCCCGGTTGCCATTTGTGGCAATTGTTAGGGGTAATTGAAGTCCCTAAAAATAGTCCACAACAGTCTTTCTACAGAATTTCGATATCGCCTAGTACTTGGGTTGTGGATGTCTTGATTGTCTGATGGCAGTCGCTCGCGTCAAATCAAAGTTCAGCCGTATCATAGTAGACATAAAGCCGACTCCAACCTAATTTGGGAAAAAGGCTCGGAAAAAGTTTTCGAATTAAAAAAAAAGTTTAGTTAAAATTTTAATTCTACACCAATTGAAGTTCTGGAAAAAGCAGGCAAACTATGATGATGATTTGATACAAAGTGTGCTACCCATTATTGTACCAGCTAATGGCAGCTATACCTACATAAATAAAATAACTTTAAATAAGACACAGTGGATCGAACTTGGCATGACCATGTATGGTATCATAATCACTCATTCACTGACCATATGTTTGCATGGCGCACAGCAATAGTTCGCGTTTATACTTGGCTAGTACTTTTTACACAACACATTCATCTGTAATTATATTAAATAATTGACTAGCTGTGGTCTCGATGGTATGCCTTTACGAGTGCCTCCTTACCTACGAACTTCCATACAACCGTTGTTTATTTTACCTCCTTAGGGATGAAATTTCCAAAAATCCTTTCTTGGTGGGTGCTTACAATATAAAAAGCATTAGCTGCCTAAATTTCAAGTTTGTAATCCTGGTGGTTTAGGCCATGCGTTGATGATTCAGTTAGTCAAGGCAAGTCATTTATATGTAAAGGCATACGGCATCCTGTTATTGTTGATTATGTATATTGCTTAGCAAATATTAGGCTCAAACAAATTTGTTTAGTTATTTATTTAGATACTTTTACAATATTCTTACAGGAATACTCCCAAGGCAATATTGCAAGCTTATAACTAATTATCTAAATTTAAACAAATTAATATTAATAAAATTAATTAATATAAATTATTTATGTGTCAGAAATAACGCAACTTTCCGCTACTTCTGTGAATTTCAGCAGGCTACAATTATAAATGTCTATATTTGTCGCAGTAACGTTACTAATACGAATGGCGCGCGACAAGGAAGCAAATTTGAGCATGTTGGTCCTCGCCACCGGCACGCTGAGCGGTGCTGGGCTATTATACATATTATACATAAACATGTCTTAAAAACATGTCCGTGTGGTGACGGATTAAGAATACGGAATGTCACCACCCATATTTATCCCGTGGGTGTCGTAAGAGCCGACTAAGGGAGCAAACTGCGCAGGACAACATAACTGCAAAGAGAAGGAAAACTTGAAACAAACCCTATATCAACCCATCTGGCCAGCGTGGTATAGTAGGCCAAAACCTCCTTTCTAAGGAGAGGCCTATGTCCAGCAGTGGACTGTTATAGGCTGTTGATGATGATGATACATAAACATTCATAATATACATACCGTTCTCTGCAGTTTTACCAGAATTATTAGAAACTTACTTCGTATATGCACTGTAACTGAAAACAGTATTTTGGGTTGAATTTCAGCCAGTTGGCCGATTGCAACTTTAACGAGCTTTAAGGATACAAAGTGCGTTGGATCCGAACCTATTATATGTACAAAGATTTTCCGTACCCAAATTTATAGTCGCAATAGTCGGTTTTATAGATCACGGATAGATTGCGGTAATCGCTTTTATTGCATTAAACAGGAATCGTGCCCGCGACCTCTGACTAAAGGTAGGTAAATTATTCTGTCGTGATGACAGAATGACACGACATGTCAAGTCAGAAGAATTGCCCGGTTGACGAAAATAACCCTACCTTCTATTTGCATGACATTAAACATTAATATTGACAATAAAAAAAAAAATTAAAACCCGACTGCAAAAGAACAATTTAAAAGTAATGTACAAAAAAACCGGAAACAGCACGAGGTGCGACATGGCCTATTTTTACGCTGATAAAACAATACTTAAACTGTCTAAATCCATCCAGCCATTCGTAAGATACGAGGTTATAAAAAAATACAAATAAACATACAAGAAACACGCGAAAACCAACCCTTCCTTGGCAGACGGGTAATAATGAGACTAAAATATGAGCGTTTGACACAACTCTCTGTACCTCTTCGGTAATGAGCATGAGTGTATATGTATGCCACGAGATACATGTGTTTCTAATCATACTAAATGTTCTAGCCAAATAGATCATCAATGCTAGAAGTGTATAATAGTGTAGTCTGGGTCAATGACTGACTGATGTCTGTGTATCAAGAGCATGCTGGCCTAGATTAATGTTTACATTGTTTGTTCAGACGCTAAGCATTTAAGTCTCGATAGCACCAAGTACGTCATAGACTAAATCCTAACTAGGAAGGCTAATTGCTCTTGTAATGTATATATTTTTTAATATTCTTAATTCTGTTTATGTGCCGTCAGTATTGCCAGTAGGGACCAAACAAGAATAACACATAGGTACTGGTTTTTCTATGATAACCTAAAATAAGTAGTTGATAAACGACCTCATTTTACTTTGATGATTAAAAAGTACAATCTCTACTTAAAAGTATTCAAAATCTAGGGTAAGACTTTTCTCGAAGCGTTTCGTCATATATTTTTTTTAACCCTTAGAACATGGTATTGGATTATACCAGATGAACAAAATTCTCGGGGTATGTACCTACATACCCCGAGAATTTTGTTCATTACTATCTACCTTAGATAGTAGACGTATTAAACATATAAAGTTTCAATGGCATATCTTTTGTACATTCGATTTTATCTATACTAATATTATAAAGCTGAAGAGTTTGTTTGTTTATTTGTTTGTTTGTTTGAACGCGCTAATCTCAGGAACTACTGGTCCGATTTGAAAAATTCTTTCAGTGTTAGATAGCCCATTTATCGAGGAAGGCTATAGGCTATATATCATCACGCTAAGACCAATAGGAGCGGAACACCAATGAAGAGTGTTTAAAAAACGGAGAAAATTTATTACTATTGAGAGACGCAGACGAAGTTGCGCGGGTCAGCTAGTTGTTAATAAAAGAAACCCTGATTTCGTCACTGACTCGCTGACGATTATCAAAATTCCTAGAAAGCTGAAATTTCGTATGTAAGCTAGTATTAATACACAACAAAAAAATCCAAAACTTGAAACTTTAACCCTCTACCCCTTTAACGAAAAGAAGTTGGTTTGAGACTGCCGAAAATTTTGATGTCAGACCAACACGAGACCATATGACTCGCGTAGTCAAAAAAAGCTTCAGAACTCCTGTAGAACCGAGCTTCACAAACTCAGACCTTAGCGTCACATGGGCGAAGGGTAAATAATTTATTCACTGTGCGTTACTTTTCTGTTACATAAAATAGTTCTTGTAATAACGAAACTGCCAAGGCATATTTTGACTTAGGTGTAGAGTGTGTGACGCACGGCTCTACATGAGATCTAATAACTTTTTGATAGTGCGAGCCATATGGTCTCATTTTGGTCTAAAAACTTTATTTCACTTGCTTTTAAGTACAAAATGTACTTTGTTACTTGCTATCTCAGTTTTGGTTGATTTTTTGAACACTGAAATACTGAAATACTGAATACTGAAAGTAGAGTGTGTGACGCACGGCTCTACATGAGATCTAATAACTTTTTGATAGTGCGAGCCATATGGTCTCATTTTGGTCTAAAAACTTTATTTCACTTGCTTTTAAGTACAAAATGTACTATGTTACTTGCTATCTCAGTTTTGGTTGATTTTTTGAACACTGAAATACGAAGTTAGCTGTTTCGAAATTCGAAATTTTAAATAATAGCATGCCTCATAATATTGTATAAAATTTCGAACTAAGTCGAACGTAGTTTCACCTACAGTACACATATCACACAAGACTTATTAATACTCAAAACCAAATTTACAATTCTAACAACTCTTAAATATACCTTAGGTACCATAGTTTGATTGGGGTCAAACAAGGTACGTATAACATATATTTAACACTGTAACAAATGATAATTTAAAAAGTCAGGTAATTTTGAAATACGTAGCTTGCGCACCTGTCCTTTTCACTCTCCAGCATACGCTTGGAATACGTACCACGAGGCTAAGGGATGTTTCACGTTACAACGAGTCGGAGTCAAGCCGGGCAAAACCGTTGATAGGCTGGCACACAGTCGAACATCTACAGAATTATTTTGTATTAAATAATTAAGGTTGACCGTGCTACTGGCGGGTACAGCCGGGGCACGGTGTCGTAATGTCGACGGGTATTCTTTTCCGGCTCCGGCCTTGCCTGAGCCCGTCAATCAACCTTAATACAGCACAGAAATATGTGGCACTATAGAGTGCCACGTGTTAACGCGTTTTTTGTAAGAGTTCGTTTATACATGGTATTCGATCTTATATCGATCGAATATTTGATTTTAGACACATCTACCGCATATACTGCTTTAGTTTTTTAGTATATTTTTTTATTTAAAACTGAACACAAAAAACATGCTTGCCAGTATTTTTTATTTAAAAATTTGTTTATGCCCAATTACACTCATTTTTAACACTTACTTCACCTTATATACCGAAATCGGAACAACAACTTCTTAACAATATTTTTTCATTTCTAGTCCATATGTATCATCAGACACACCGAATCCGTCTACATCAGGCCTTCAATCAACAGAGAAAGGAGACAGCATGAGAAAAAATGAAGACGACACGCCCCTTCAAGATAAAGAAACCGAAGGATCCATCACCGACTGGATCTCGGGAGGACCGATGGGTTCAAAAACAGCCGTACTTGTATTCAGATCCTGTGTCCTGGCATCCAGGACACCCTCCATGGAGTCCACAACGAAGACAATAGGCAACAACACGGGCACTACAATACTGCTAAATAAAGCTAAGAATATGGCTAGGCGGTTAGTCGCAGAACCTCATGCTTTCTCCATGAGGCCAAAGCATATAATGCACGATGTTATGGAGACTTTTGGCAATACCAATAAGTTTAATGGTCAGGCTTATGTGGTGCAGCATGTTAGCGATTCGAATATTGCAGAGAGTGTCATTGTTGAGGAGCAGGGGCACGAAGCTGTGGAGCACAAGCGAGACATTGATGATGTTCTCAATGATCTTAGTAAAATTACACTAAAGAAACACCTTAATATAGAGAATACGACGGCCAATATAAAGCCCCCTGAGGAACCACCGCCGCCATCAGTTGCTACAACAGGTATTAGTTTTTTTTCTTTTATTAGTATATTTAATAACTACGGGTCGCAAGTAACCGTTATGCGTACGCCCGTAATATGCTTCATGTGGTGTTTTGTCACATTTTGGTCACGCAGTACTTTTAACCTCTTGTAGTCTTCTCGCCTCTTGTAATGAATCACTGAAATGTATGTACTCGCATACCTGCCGAACGATTACACCAAATTCGATAATTCTTTTTTGTGTTCGTTATTATCAGTACAAGGTTTGCATAATAGAAAATTTATAAAAAAACAAACATTTTTGTTGTAAATCTCACAATATGAAAAGTGCGTAAGTGAATGAGACGGATGACTGTGAGAGATCTAACATATACTAATATTAAAAAGGGTAAAGTTTGTGAGTTTTTATATTCGTGGTAATTTCAGAAACTGCCGGTTCGAATTGGAAAATACTTTAATGATATATCAGCTAGTTTTAAATAAAGATAAGAAAGGAAAAAAAAAATTATCACTATTCCTGCGGGGATTTCTGTGTCTGCTATGTTTTGATCATAATTGTGATTTCCTTAGTAGCCGGCTTGAATAATACTTAGTGGAAATAAATATTTCGGTCGATTACTTTAGTGCAGCAAAGGGTTTATGCAGTTGAATGAGAGCCGGAAAGATAGATCTGTGATCTCTGATCATCTTCCCTTCTGCTATGTACTGCTGGTATCTAAAATTGGACTTTGTTATAATGCCCATAAGGATTTATTACCTCAGCTACCTACTTATGTACAGAGACTGTAACTATTTCGCTTTAAACCTGGTGCTTTATAGAGCCTAATTTTTGTTGTCTTCTACAAATACTAATAATTAATGATTTTGTCAAAAAATAATGTTTATCTAGGTTGATAACTTAATATAATATATTTCTTTAGTAATAGATAATAAAGAAGAAAAAAAGGGGAAAAGAACTAAAGGTAAGCATAAAAGAAAGAACTCACAGCAAGTGGTGCGCACCGCATCGCCAGGAGACGATAGTGATGACTCTTCACATTTACTGATCAAGGAAGTGGAGAGTGTTAAGGTAAGTCTTTGTTAAGTTGGCAATCTCATTTGGCATCTAATTTATTTTTATTTCTATAACGTTTATATTTTAACAGATTTCTTTGCTAACATGGAATTATTATATTTCCAACTGCTCTAATTTACTTTTGGTAAATTTTGTTGCGGGTTCCAAGGCAGTTTAACTTTTTCTGGGACACCAAGTGCCATAACTCCGTGTGTTTGCGGGTCACTGCTGGTGATCCTGGTGTATATGAGTTATAGTAGTGGGCGTGTGGGAGGGATTAGTCCCATAAAATGTGAGCTGTTTATTCGATTAATAAGCGACTTTGGTCTTTGAACGTAGCATACACAGATGTATATGGTCACAGATATGTCATCATCTTTATCAGAATATTAGTGATAAAACGCCTACTGGTAAAAATAGACCTCCCTGAATGACGTCGACCAGCAATCTTCTTAATGTAATATACTTTGCCTGTTGGACGTTCTATGCTGTACTTGTCACTCCTTACTCACTCACTACCATGCCCTCCAACACTTTGAACTTACAATCTGTCGGGTTATGTCGGTTACTGTAGTGCTGTGCATATGTCCTCATTTCTATGTAAAAACTCGTAAAGCTGAAGAGTCACTTGGTGACCCTTATTGACAGCACAACTACACTAGTTTTGCAATAAAGTAATGAATGACTGGTACTAATTCTATAATGGCGAATTGTTCAAGCAACGGATTTCCGGCGACGTTGTAATTGAATGAAACCCCGACTCAATAACTTGCTACAGGTCTTTTCAATCGTTAACCAAGGCTGCTAATATGTATTAGTCGAATTCAAGGGCGTAACGTTTATTTATATGTATATATATATACAGTAATTTAATGTATGTCATGAATTATATAAAGCGAAGAAAGCCCTATGCAAAGAGGTCGCTTTTACATTTATGTAAGTATTTTGATATCGGAGTCGAAATAAACTATCACAACATTACTATTTATAGATAGATAGATAACTCTTTATTTGCACACCTTTTACAAGTATTGTGGTACATAAAAATTTCAGACATGTAATGTACAAAGGGCGGCCTTATTGCTAAGAGCAATCTCTTCCAGGCAACCTTAGGATGGATTAAAATGTTTTGGAGAGACAGTAGTAGTTAAAGGTGCAATGGTATTGCTGACATATTTCACCCGACTGGGACCTATTTAATTCATTTAAATAGCAGTAAAGCATAATTTATGTATCTTAACTGTGCTTCGTTAGTATTAGACTCCAAATATTTTAGATAAGGGGTAGAGAGATATGAAAAAGAAAAGAAATGAACTGTATCCTCGTTGGTATTGTGATCAACAGTGTGTCCAGCCTCTTCTTCTTTCTTCTTTAAATATTTAATACTTTATTCACCAGGTCCTAGAAAGCAGCTGCATGCCGGCACGTATACTTAAAATAACATATAAACTGATAAATACGGAAACGAAACTCCTTCACCGTTTGCTGCAAGCACATGGTCTCCAGGAAACAGTATCTGAGGCTAAGGATTTCAATCTACTGTGGTCGGGCCTCCACCCGAAACCAGACGTCCTAAGAACCTTGGCTTCGTATCAGCGAGTAAATCACTTTCCAAGGTAAGGACCGGGGCGAGTAGGTGAATTACTGTCAGTATTTTTGAATCTCATGGCTAGTATCATATAGTTATATTCTAGGTTCTTGTTCTTTTTACTTAAATTTCATACAGAAATTTAGTTCTAGTCTAGTTTAATCAAAGAGTAGAAGGGTAAAGCCGTACAAGACCCTAGGCTCTAAGCTCGCTAACAAAAGACAACCCTGCGACCCCAAATGGAGTCGAATGATAGTTCCCAATATTTCGCCTACCTCGTGAGTAGCATCTACTTTCAGTACGACAGTGTGAGAGAGTGTATCTCACCTTAGAATGAGATTTACCAAATATAATTATATCAAATAAGTTCTTGTTTTGTCCTTGACTTTAATATTTTATCATTTTCTAGATCTCATGTCAAACCATCCACGAATACGAGTCAAGTTTGTACGTTTCTAGAGTTTAGTAGACTACTCAGCTCGGGCTAACTGCTAACTGCACTTATATACAAATAAGTATTCGATTATAAAGTTCTTGATATAAGACCATAATATTCAAAGATATTGACAGTAGTTCACTGTAGGACCGTGCTGACTGCTCTGCTGAAAGGCCATGGACTGGAAAAAGCAAAAGAAGGGGCCACCGACTGGCATCTCTTGTGGTCCTTCTTCTCGATCCCCGTTGAAATTTACCAGTCGTTGAAAGAGTACCAGAGAGTTAATCATTTCCCGAGGTAACTTCCCTGTTTTCCTTTGTTTAATCCTGAATCTCCTTCTTCGTTGTACCTGATATCGTATCCGGAGCGAAGGTTTGCTGCATTCTAATTTTATTCTGGTTAGACCAAATAATTTGAAGTATCAGCGTTACAAAAGCCCAATAAATAAATGGATTACTATGTGTAATTCCCGATTTCTATATAACACTGGAAAGTGTGTGGATGTTACCACAGGTATATTGTTTTGAAATTTACCTATTATAATTAGCATTAAAGATGAACTTACCAACTTAATATTCGTCGAAAGAAAAGAGTACTTAGCTGTGTGTGTGAAAATCGACTGTTATCTAAGGTAAGAAGTCTTACAAAGCAGGTGGACTATTGTCAGTATCCGAGAATGATGTTTTTTTAATTTATATTTGATATAGTGAGAATTCTTAGTCTTTGTTTCGTAGTAATATAATCTGAAGGATTCTGATTCAGTCTCTTAAGATTGTACAAATTAATCATGACCAATACAAACGGTTTAACTACACGCTACCTTAGGAAGTCCTGCAAAAAATGCCTTGTAAGAGCACGGTAGTATGACCACGGCATGATAAACGCGGCATGGTCATAGAAGTTACCTTTCTAGGTAAAGTTATTCATTATCACCACATGATATTCCTCCACTAGCTTGTACTGATTGTCTGTAGTACAATCTGATACGGACCTGTAAGATAATACAATAAATGCTTCGAAACTGCGAAACGACTTTTGTAAAGAGAAGTGTGTATCTCTTGTTAATAATTTAAATTAGTCAAAGTCAATACAACGACATACATTCTTTAGATTTTATGTAATAAATATATTGTTCCTTCAATCCCTATCGTATATTCCTTACATTAATGTTACATTTTTCAAGAAAGCTCCAGATTTTGACAAAAACCAAACCGCTATTTCCTTTTGAAACCTTTAATTTATAAAGGGAGTTAAAGTACAATCATACTCATAAAACCACCTACATAACAGGATTAGTTTTAATCTTTTATTGGTGTCTTTGAGATAACTTTTTGATCAATAACGCCATCTATTCAGCCAATCGCAACTAAACCTAAAAGGTGAAGAATATAATATTAACTTTGAATATATTGTGACGTTAAACTTAACAAAAAAAACATCCTCGTAGTTGTAAAATCCAAGTTAGAATTAACTGATTATATTTGACAAAAATATATTTATTCCGTGCGGTGAGGAAAACATAGTTAGTCTTAAAGTCAGACTCACAATTGAACGATACTGACAGTAGTTCGCCGGGGGAAACGCTGGTGACAGCACTTCTAGACGGTCACGGGCTGTTGAAGGCGCACGAAGAATCCCCAGATTGGACTCTAATGTGGTCCGTATTCTGTATCCCCGTCGCAGTTCTCCAAGAATTGAAGGAGTACCAGAAGGTCAATCACTTGCCAAGGTAAAACTGTCGTGCACCTCCGAATTTCCTTATCATGTAGACCTTAACAATTCCTACTCTCCTTTCCTTCAATTCATTGTCGAGTAAGTAGGCGAAATCCATTTAGATTGGAAAATAGTTTATGCCACGTCACATCAATAAATGGCCACCACGTTAGGGTTTTGAACCCTAAAGAGACTGCTTCTGGTTTCTGAACCCTCAAAGATATCTCAGTATATAAATAAACAGTTTGAGGCTTAGGTTAAAGAATTCCATGCAGAATATGTCTTCCAATGTCATTCGGTGATGAAAGGGAATCGAAATAGGCGGTACTGATGGAACCATTATTAGGAATTGGGGAAACTAGTATGGCGAGTGGACAGGGCACCCCTAATTCTGTCTTGTCATCTTTTTATATCTAGTTTCTTTCTTTCTTTCTTTCTTGTTACCGATTGATGGCTATTTTCTTCACCAGATCGTACGAACTCACTCGCAAAGATAAACTGTTCAAGAATATAGAAAAGATGCAATACTTCAGGGGGCTGAAACAGTTTGACTTCATACCTACGACTTTTCTCATGCCAGCGGAATATAAGGAGTTGTGTTCCACTCACTACAGGACCAAAGGACCCTGGATTGTGAAGCCGGCAGCATCGAGCCGGGGTCGGGGGATTTATATTGTTAATGCAGTAAGTTAAAATAATTTATTATGATGCTACGAAGGGTTTTGGCGCTAGCTAGTAAAGACAATCCAAAATATGTTGTAGGTTTAGAGGACTATTGAGTCAAATTAGTATCTTTTAATCACGCTTGTATTAGCTTTCGTGTAGTGTTCCGAGTAGTTACGGATTAAGAATACGGAATGTAACTACTCCAATTTATACCGTGGGTGTCGTAAGAGCCTGCTAGGGGCGCGCAAAACAACGGAGGACACCAACACCTCAAAAATAAGGAAAACTTGACACAGACCCTTTTTTTTTTTTTTTTAACGTGTGGAAATCCCCTCGGACCGTCACCCCGCCGGGGCTCTCGTTCTACGGGGCGGTGTGTCGGACTCGAACCGACTAAAACCACACGGTGTGCCCTCTTTGCGCTTCCAGTTTAGGAGGGGTCCAGGTAGTTATCGCCTTCTGGACCCCTCCCAGCGCCGGCCCGCTCCTGTTGCGGGCTCCGTCTCAAAGTTTCCTCTCTTTAGGCGGCCAACTAATGCGGGTGGAGGGGAGAACCCATCCCGTCCACCCGCGGCCACACTCAGGGCGGCATGAGGCGCAGGTAAGCGCGCCTCCGCCGCCCGGTTCGCCGGCGGCGATCAGGTCCGAATGGAGGTCGTCCTCCCGGGCCTTCTCCGCCGCCTCCTTCTGCAAGATTACCTCCTCGCAGAAGGTTGCGACCGCGGTAAAACAACCGTCGCTACCGGCCATGGAGCGAATTACGGCTGGTAGCGAGAGATCTGCTCCGATGACTGCAGTGAGGGCCCGGCGCTGCGTCGCCCATGCGGGGCAAACCGCCAGCGTGTGCTGGGCCGAATCCTCACTGCAGTCGCAGTGGTGGCAGGCGGGACTCGATTCCCTCCTAGCGACCGAGTACAGGTACTTTCCGAAGCAACCGTGCCCGGAAAGCACCTGCGTCAGCCGGAAGGAAAGGGTCCCGTGCTGCCGCCCTGCCCACTCGGCGATGACCAGCTGGAGAGCCTCCACGGCGGCGAAGCCAGCGCGTGGAGTCTCCAGCCGGAACGACCATCTCACCATGGTGGCTCGGCGAGCGGCTTCGCGCCACTCGCGCCCGTCTTCGAGCGGAGGCGAAATCCGCTCTCCGCCCGGAAGTCAGCCACTCGCCGATAAACTTCTGCGAGCACTTCCGCCTCCAAATCCCACGGGGGTGTTCCGGCCAAGGCGCAAGCCGCCTTGGTGGACACCGGGCATGCCGTGCACCGCGTATGGCTCTGACCGCCAATATCCTCTGGGGGCGCCAGAGGCGCGCCTTGACACAAACCCTATACCAACCCGTCTGGCCAGCGTGGTATAGTAGGCCAAAACCTCCTTTCTAAGGAGAGGCCTATGTCCAGCAGTGGACTATTAAAAGCTGTTGATATTATAGATCCTATTTTTTTATATTATGGCATATGGAGCATATGTACGCATACGTATGTTAACAAATTTTATCTTTTCTTAGCACCTAGCTATATGATAAGATAAATAAAGTATTGAAAATATTTAAGTATAATTTGGTTATTGTCTTTTAGTTTTTTTAAACTATAATTAAAAATAAATATAAACGATAAGTTATATTTGATATATGGAATGATGTATGGAATACCTACTCGTAGACATGACGTAACGATAGACTGCTGTTATTGGTCATTTTCTATTAAAAATACACATTATCTTAAGTTATTTTGTTGCCGGGCTAATTTAATATTGTGCATAGACATCCTTTAACTCTCCCGGTCGGATTATCATTATTTTTCTCGACTCTTGTAAATCTATTATTTCACGCGAATTTTATTCAAAGACCAAATTTATTAATTGTTGTATTCCTCACTTTTGAATGCAATGTCTTTGTCCAAATCTCTCAACTCAAACCGCAGAAAAAAAATCCTTTTCACGCTTAGCCGTTATAACTGTTTTTCTTACAGCCGGAACAAATTCCAAAAGGGGAAAACGTTGTGGTAGCAAAATACATCGACAAACCTCTCTTGATTGGAGGTCATAAATGCGACCTTCGTCTGTACGTGTGCCTCACTTCCATAGACCCCCTACTGATATACCTCTACGAGGAGGGCCTCGTGAGGTTCGCGACGGTCAAGTACGACAAAACCAATAAGAATCTGTGGAATCCTTGCATGCATCTTTGTAACTACAGCATCAATAAGTACCATACGGATTATATCAAGTAAGTCACATGTCATCTCTCTAGTGTTAGGGTGCTTCTACACGGTGCAAGTAGCTGAAGGGGGCAAAGACGCGGGTTATTTGTTACGTGTATGCGTCTTGCTCGTTTCAGATTTGACACAGTTCAGTACCGTACCTGCTCAAGTAACACGCGTGAGTGGCTCGCGCTGGTACATGCTCGAGTCGCTGGACACGCATAGTTCTTTTCTCGAAGCTCAAGTGCCTCCACATGCGCAAGCTACTTGCATCCTATAAAAGCGCCCTTAGATTTGAAAAACCGTTTTGAAGCAAGTTTCAAATAAGTTCTGAACATAAAACCTGATAAATTGTATTTAGGAAACAACACGGACATATTTTATGAATAAGTTTCTTTTAATAGACACTTATAACCCTGAGTTGCGTGTCCATGTTCGACGGTAGTCGCTTACCATCAAGTGACCTGTCTGCTCATTTGCTCCCTTATACCATAAAAAACCATTTCATGTAAAATACAAATCGTTAGGGTTATCAAAGAGCCACATTTTGCTAATTATAATTAGTCTTAGTCACCCAAGTACATTGAGAATTAAAGACGGCAAATAAAGAACTATATTGAAAGGTAAAGATTACAGAGGCTCATGGCTAAGTGGTAACCAAGTAAGTTAGCACATTGCAAAGTTAACCTGGCCAGGTCTGTATATGGATGGGTGCCCAATTTTAACACAGAGACCCCTCCGTGCCTCGGAGAGTACGTTAAGCCGTCGGATTGCTATACGAACATCTGTGGCAATCGTTACGGGTAGTTGGAGCCATAACAGGCGACAACAGTCTTTCTACAGAACTTCGATATCGCCTAGCACTTGGGTTGTAACTAGAGGATTCGATCCCGAGATCCGGGATCCCGGGATCCCGGTCATATTTTAGTCCCGTTTTCGGGATCAAATTTAATGAATCCCGGGATTTTCGGGATTGATACATTTTTTACATAAGTCAATAAAAATGTGCGTAAAAAGAAACGCACTTGCCTTGATTTGATGTTTTGACAGCCATCTTGTGTACACAGCTGATTTCATTTGTTTTTGCTAATGACCGGTTCTGGATTATGCGTAAAAGTGTGTAATTTATAAAGTTTCTGGGCAATTTAATTAAAAAATATGAGTAGGAATCTATAAACATTGGTCTTTTAAGCATATAGTTTTTTTTTTTATAGTTTATCTAAATAATTCTAAAGAAGTTGATTTATTGAAGTTTATTGTTAGTTTCATAAATTATTTCGCGAAACACAAAACAAACTAGGCACTAGTTTGTTTATTTATAAGAAGAAAGTATAATTTTGGTTAACCGCCTTTTTGGAGATTTAAAACTTAAATATTCTATGTCCTCACAAAACTAAATGATAAACAAAAAATATTTTGATATGTTTTACTGTCTTTTCGTTACCACTTTCCATTGCCAATACAATCCCGGGACTATCCCGGGATCCCGAGATTAACTGCAGATAATCCCGAAATCCCGGGATTATAAAAATCGACCGGGATCGAATCCTCTAGTTGTAACGGTCTAATGGCAGTCGCTCCGCGTAAAAAATCGAAGTTCAGCCGTATCGTAGTAGACTCAAAGCTGACCCCAACCTAGTTTGGGAAAAAGGCTCGGAGGATGATAAGTTAAAGGTAAAGATAGGGAAGAAGGGAAGGCAATGGAGGTATAGGAATACTGATGGGCAAGGCAATTATGCTCAAGCAATAGCACAAGTCAGAATTCATCATTCTGACTCTTCTAACTGATACTTTATAACCGATATTAATAGCTTCTGTCTACTTCATTGCGAAAAAAAGTCGTGAGTATATATAAAGATGCACGTGCTTTCTGTTCATCGTTAACCTAACACGTATCCATTAACCCCAGGTGCGATGATCCAAATGCAGGCAATATAGGTCACAAATGGACTCTGTCAGCTTTACTGCGGCACCTTCGGAAGCAAGGGCGGAACACCACCGCCCTGATGGTGGCCATTGAGGACTTGGTGATCAAGTCTATACTCTCATCAGCGCAGACCATCACGGCTGCTGCGAGGGTGTTTGTGCCTAACTTCTTTAATTGCTTCGGTAAGTGGATTATCTTTTATGAACCAGAAATTGCCTGGTGGTAGAATTTCGCCCAAACACATTAAAAGTAAGTTGACAAATGGTTAAAAAATATGAACCTTCTCGCTTTCTTCTACTATTGCAATTTATTTCTGATGTAGTTTCACATTTCTGAACAACATTTGAACTTTCATATCAGTTACTAAAGATTGAACTTGTCTATGTTTATAGCAGACATTTTCAATAAATCTGAACATTTAGTAAACAGCCATACCAGTCAACATATTTTTATTTATTTCCACCCTCGCTTAATTTAATGTTGGAGTAATTAATTATTTTTTTAAAAACATTCAACGTTATAACGTTCCGACATCAACTTTGAAAATATTTACATGTTAATTTTACGGGGACTTTTAAATAATATAGTTAATTCATTCATCAATTACAACTGCACGGGTGGCGTAGTGGTTTAAGCGATCACCTCGCCGCTTCCTACTGCGCTGAGTGTTGTGGGTCCGATCCCCACATGGGACGACACTTTGTTTGATCTACAAATTATTGTTCTGACTCTGGGTGTTCTTTGTGTCCATTTCATGTACGTGTGTAACCTTTCCCGCGACAAAGTATATATTATTAGTGCGGGAGTTGTCTTTTTAAAAATAGAATTGCTAGAGTTTTCTGTATCTGACATTGATAGTGTGCAGAATAGTACAGAAAGATCCGAACCTGCATAATGTCGATTCCATGTCCATAAATTGAGCTATCTGGTTAGGCCCAGTGTTAGTTTGGTGAACAGTTTAGTGCGGACCTAGCGCAGTACCGAACGCGGTCTCCGTGACGATCGATGCGATGGGAAATAAACTCACACTAAGGCCCCAGAGCTTCTAGTTGAACAATAAAAGGTATTCACCTACTTGTATTTATCGACCAAAATAAAAATGTTGTTCCAGAACTCTTCGGCTACGATATTCTGGTCGACGATATGTTGAAACCGTGGCTGATTGAAATCAATTTATCTCCAAGGTACAGTGTTTGTTCTCACTACCTATGTATGATGTACAATGTCAGGTCTAAGCTCATAAGTCGTGGTCTCAATTGGCCTCCTATTAGGAATTACTGGACCACATATTCTCACCTTGAAAACATTTTATTTATTTATTTATTTCTTAAAGTCTTAAATCCATATAATTAAATTATAATTGACTGACTTGTTGGTTCCGTGGTTATTATTGTGATCTTGATTATTTACCCAGAAAGTCGTAGGTTCAATTCCCCCAGAAGAAAATAATTGTGTGATAAGAAAGCTCAATTATTTAATATAATTTTAAATAATAATAATCATATTTTTATATATTATTTCACATCACACATCAACAGCCTTTAATAGTCCACTGCTGGACATAGGCTTCTCCTTAGAATATAATATTTAATCATTTGTATTCCCAAGTCCCTAATTTTGGAATGAACATCATTAATATTTGTATTGAACTCATGTATCACAAAGAAACGATTTCATTTGTTTATCTTTCTCTGGGTGCAATTTATGTAAATATATCATTTGAAGTTGAATAATATGTTGTGTGCGTCACTCGCAGCTTGGCGTGCGACAGTCCGCTGGACGCGCGCGTGAAGTCGGCGCTGCTGGCTGACACGCTGACGCTGGTGGGGCTCCCCGCCGTGCCCATGAGCAAGGCCGACTCCGCCGAGAGGAGCACCTCACTCAAGATGAGGATCGGAGCGGTCAGTCATGGCTTATCTTTATATAAAAATTTAAAATGCTACTGTATACCCGTAAGACCTGTGAATTCGTGGTCGCAGTCTGCTTGTAATTACTGCCAGTGGAATCTGGTACAAGGGTTAGGTTAGGTTAGGTAATGTACCGACAGCTTGCTCCAAAGCTGGTCGGCGCTGCGTCTGCCCTAGGGCGACTTTTGCCCAATTTGGGTGGACCCAGCGTCGCGACAAGACGTCTGTACACGGGGGTTGTCCGGTCAATGGCACTATACGGTGCACCGGTGTGGGCGGCGGCTCTGACCGCCCAGAATAGGGCACGCCTCTGGCGACCTCAGAGGGTAATGGCGGTCAGAGCCATACGCGGTTACCGCACCGTTTCGACGGAGGTGGCATGCGCGTTGGCCGGAACTCCCCCGTGGGGTTTGGAGGCGGAAGTGCTCGCCCAAGTTTATCGGCGAGTGGCTGACTCCCGGGCGGAGAGCGGATTTCGCCCTCCGCCCGAGGATGTGCGCGAGTGGCGCGAAGCCGCTCGCCGAGCCACGATGGCTCGTTGGTCGTTCCGGCTGGAGACTCCACGCGCTGGCTTCGCCGCCGTGGAGGCTCTCCAGCCGGTCATCGCCGAGTGGGCAGGGCGGCAGCACGGGACCCTTACCTTCCGGCTGACGCAGGTGCTTTCCGGGCACGGTTGCTTCGGAAAGTACCTGCACTCGGTCGCTAGGAGGTCTAAGTAGAACTGAGTCCCGCCTGCCACCACTGCGACTGCAATGAGGACTCGGCCCAGCACACGCTGGCGGTCTGCCCCGCATGGGCGGCGCAGCGCCGGGCCCTCACTGCAGTCATCGGAGTCGATCTCTCGCTACCGGCCGTAGTACGCTCCATGGCCGGTAGCGACAGTTGTTTTACCGCGGTCTCAACCTTCTGCGAGGAAGTAATCTCGCAGAAGGAGGCGGCGGAGAAGGCCCGGGAGGACGACCTCCACTCGGACCCGATCCGCCGCCGGCGAACCGGGCGGCGGAGGCGCGCCTATCACCGCCTCATGCCGCCCTGAGTGGACGGGGTGGGTTTCCCCTCCACCCGCATTAGTTTGGCCAGCCGCGAGGGGGCGGCGTCCGCGTGTGCCGGACGTGTCGGTCCGAGGGGATTTCCACACGTTAAAAAAAAAAAAGGTTAGGTAATGTAAAAAATTGAGAATTTCGATCTTTCTTTTTTACGTTACTATCGTGCGTGTGCAGACACTAGTTAATTTAAACCGTTTTAACGTTTGTTTTTTAAAAGTTTAAGTATCTTATGTATTTGGTATCGTGTTTAATACTCGATTATGTTACTTGTTTACGACATGCCCTTATTTTGATACTTAGGACTATTCGTGACTTATTATAGTTGAGGTCTACTCGTGTCCAGCAAACGATTCGCTCAAAGGCCAGTTTTAAATTATTTCAAAGAACAAACACTGGTAAAATACTATTTTTTTGCAAGAAACCATTTTTAGATAATGGATAGATATTTGAAGATTCATAATCGTGTGTATTCTAGGAAAAGATATGTGAAAAGAGCGATGGAAGTTTGTATGGGGAATTAATAACCCCTGAACCAATTTAGATGAAAGGACAATGGCAGGTCCCCATACATAATTTTATTTGAACCGAAATGTTAGCGTTTAAATATCAAAAAATCCTTAACACTTGAGAATTTATTCTTGACAATTCTCATACCAAAATTACGTACGAAAGAAGTCTAGGAAAAAAGATATTGGATTTTGAATGTTTGGAGGTTAAGTACTAACATATTGTTAATGTTTTGTTTGAAACTAGATGGCGTTGTGTCAGATAGCCGAAAAGATTATTTTCATTAGTATTACAGTATATGATATAAAAAAAATATAAGCATAACATCTATTCGAGTTTAACACTAAATTGAACAAAAATAAAATAACAAACGTGGTGAGTCCGGAACTTGACAGAATCTAAACGACAACGTATCATTTTGAAAATATCGATGTATGTCTATTTATGTGCCGTTATCAACGACAATGTATTTTTCTCATCACACTGTGTAGTGTATATTTTTTACGTCGGAAAATAACTTAACTATATTCTATTTCTTTAGTGTGTTTAAAATCGTTTAAAGAGAGTCAAAAATATTCTAAATTATTTCTAATTATGTTGATTCAGTCACTCTACTATACGAGTGAAGCCGTGGGCTGAAGCAAATTCATAATCATAATAGGTGAACCTTCGGTAAATATTTCAGCCAAAGCTATAAGAATCGATTATCGATAAAACGTTCCATAATATAATATTGTCACCACGCATCCCTAGTCAGTTATACGTGAATCTGACATTACGTACTTAGGTCAAATAAAATCTTCAAAAATATCCTATCTCTTATAAGACTTATACTCGTACAACACATGGTGGTGTAATGATATTTCATAGAAAAAATATTGATTAAGTTTACTGTGACTCGATTTTTTAAACGCTTAAGTTTTAGGTCAATATGTTTCTGCCATTGTTCTTTGGTATTGAGATACTTTGATTCTTGAGGAAAGACATAGGCCTCTTTATACCGCGATAACCGAGCCCGGGCAAAAGCTAGTATTATATATGTATTTAGAAATATATAAGTATGTTTATCAGCAGTCCGGTTACCATAGTACAGGCTCAGCCTAGTTTGGAATCAGATGGCCGTGTGTGAGATGCGTGAAGTTATAATTAATTAATTTCTGTACAGTGTCGTCGCGTCCACTCGGCTGAAAACGTGTTCGTTCGCGGCAAACGCACGGGCTCGGAGGGCGGGTCTGGGGGGCAGGCTGCGGGCGGCGGGGGTGCGGGCGCGGCCGTGGGGCCGGGCGCGGGCGTAGGCGCGGGCGCGGGTGTGGGGTCGGGTGCGAGCTCGCTGGCCGCGCTCACGGGCGAGGAGCTGCGCCTCGTGCGCGCCGTGCGGGCGCAGTACGGCCGGCGCGGGGGCTTCGTGCGCATCTTCCCCAGCCAGGACTCCTGGCAGAAGTACTCGCAGTACCTCGGTGAGTTAAACTTATTTTGGTATTGCTGAAAAATTATAGGCACACTATTTTGAAGACTAATTAAAAAAAAAAAACAGGTCAGGTACGAGTCTAACTCGTGCGCCGAGGGTTCCGTACCGACCCTGATTTTACGTAGATTTTCGCGAAAATTTTTAAGGGCCAAAATTCATTTTAATTTTAAACTTTTTTTAATGTTTTGGAATTATTCCTTTATTTATGCTGTAAGACGTTTCTTTTTGCCAAGTTTCGTGATTCTAGGTCAGGCTTTCGACCCAAAACCTATAGGGTACTTCCGGTTAACCTAGAATTGTCAATTTTGGTTAAAAGCAAGGTCTTAGAGCACAAGAAAGGAGAAAATTCTGAAAAACAAAAAGTTGAAAATTAAGGTAAATTTCTGTACTTACAGGTTTTCCCGAATATCGAAATTTGCCCATATCTTTTTATAGTGTTGACTCAGGACCTTGATTTTTATACACCTAATAAGGACCATAGACTGAGGTCTATGGTCCCTATTAGGTGTATAAAAATCAACTGATCATATCATATCATACTGAGGTATCTGGTATAAATTTCAACTTGCTAGGTCTACCCGTTCCTGAGAAAATAGGTGGTGACACACTGACAGACGGACAAGAAAGTGATCTTCTAAGGGTTCCTTTTTTACCTTTTGAGGTGCAGAACCCTAAAAATAAAAAATAAACTAAATTTATTTTGGTAATTATTTGTTCGAGACAATTTCTTAAATTAATAATGTAACAATAAATATTGACCATTATTTTTTCTTTCAAAAGAAAGTCGATTTATATTTGAACCGTGTTATGCAAAAAAAGCCACAACCAATCTAATTAATACGTAATACCAATTAATTGCCAATTTTTTTAATATTGATAATTAAATTGTCATCCAGTCTTTAAATTAATATTATCAGTAAACCGCAATCACTTCACAAACTTCCTTATGCGACAGATCCAGTGACAGGTATTCCGGTGTGCTCGACGTCGTTGAACAACAACATGCCGTACCAGGTGGTGCAGCACAACTACAACCTGCTGGTCCACTCGCACGTGCTGCCCCACTTCCAGCACGCCACCGTCGCCACCAGCCTCACTGACACTCCACAGAGGTGAGTCTACCATTATTTATACTGTTACGTATTACAATTCATTATTTGCAATAAAATACCTTGTGACGTCTTAACTATTTACCAACATACTTAATAAGTCCGATCAATACGTAAGTATTTATACTCGCTTAGTATGTAACTTGTAACAAACACGGTGGGCGAGTCCAACAAATGCTGCTGCAGCCTTAGCAATCCTTGCGAATATCTCAAACTCGAGACGATTGTCGCTACGAACGAGACTGCCAAGGTAGCGGAAAGATTCTACTTCCTCTACAGCTTTAGCGTTTCTTTTTTTTTTGCAAGCTATATATTATATTACCACTGCTTTTTTACGTCGTACGTACGTAAAATGTCTCCGAGCTATACTCCATGTCAGGTTTAGCGAGCATGGAAAGCCTTCTAATGGAGGGTCAGCTGCGCTGGTGCGGGCACTTTGTGCGTAAGGGGTACTTCCAGATTGCCAAAAGCTAGCTTCTTTACTCGGAGATCAGCTCAGATAAACGCCGGTCTGGAGGACAATATCGGCAATACAGGGATGTGCTAAAGCGACATTTATCAGCCATCACCTTGCCCCCTTTTGTTGTGGGAGGAACTGGCAAGAAACAGAACGGAGTGGTAGCAAGCTGTTCATCAGGGCATTTTGTTACAAATTGTGAACAAAGCTGTCTTGAAGACCTTGACGCCAAACGCCAGCTTCGGAAAACTCGTCCTAAGCCCGCCTATAACTAAACTTACAATACGCGGGGCGCGACCGTGTATTCAAAACCAAATCGGTTTTGCGAGTCACGTACGGGCGCATGAGCGTAAACGGAGCTGTTAAAAGGTGACAGGGTGTCGCCGTCGACGGATACTTCTGGGAGGACATCATTTTCATCATCATTTATACTCGCTCTCTATACTGAAACGTGTCTAGAAGTTCACATACGCTTTTTCTATAAAACGATAGGTCATTTTAAACGTTAATACTCGTAACCTTATATATAAGACAACAAAGTGCAGCCTCGTGCTGTCCTGCGTTTATACTGAAATTTTCGCGGCATTCTCGCAGTTAAGGAACTTTGGAAGGTAAGTTATTGGTCATTTTGTATTGTACAGGTTGAAACGCTACGAGGCCGTGAGCATCACGTGCCAGGCGCCGGCCGTGTGGCTGGGCGAGCAGAGCCCGCAGCACCACGACACGCGCCGCGCCAAGGAGCTCGTCAAGCGACAACTCCTCGACGGGATGAAACTCACGTAAGTATCACTGCTCATACTTAATTAGTGAACAAAGTGAAAACTGATAACATCTCACTTGAGTAAAGCAGCACGAGTCACCATAATATATTTTTTAATTTAAATTAATCTGACATGTCCCTCTATTTTTCTATAAATTGATCGTTTGTTCACTTCGCTCAACATGTTTTGGTCAACTCGGTTGGTCCTTCGAGCCGTAAAGAAAAAGAGTTTCAAAAGTAACAGATGCATCATCTTTCGTCATAGTATGGGAGACAGTTAATATAAATTAGATCATTTTGAATAAATCTGTCATCATGTAGGTGGAGCAACGTCCCATCTGTAAAACGTTTCATCCCATAGTTATTTCACAATTTTAATTGTAAGTAAAGTGATGTGTGGTAATGTGAGGCAGCATGGGCGAGGGCCGGCGCGCGTTCGGTCTGTTCCTGACGCACGTGCTGAAGCGCGTGTCGAGCCCCAGCAACGAGCTGGCCGTGGCGCACGCCGCGCTCGTGCTGCGCTTCCTCAAGCGCGCCGCCAGCACCCTGCGCATGCCATACAACGTCAAGGTGACACGCACCACCTTCACGCACCGATATACACACATACACACACACACACACGCACACACACACACACACACACACACACACACACACACACACACACACACAACTACATACGGATATTTTAACCTTTTAAAAAAAACATTTTCTGTAATCTGTTTTGTACTCTCTCGAGACACCTCCGACCATAGAGATATAACCATAGAACTCAGAGTACTACAGCTGCCTGTAAGTGGAAGCTATACAGGCAACGAGAGAGATGGATGGATGCCCGATATTTTCCTCTGTCTCTGTTTAGCTCTCTGTTTAGATAAGCTGCGATTAGTTACCTACAACCCCTCATATTCCCCAGCCAAACACAGAGCTCGGCAAGAAAGACATAGAAAGGACTATCTATTATCCATCTCCTCGTTGCGTATATTGCAAGAATGGGTGCTCTTGTTCCCTCTAGGTTATATCTCTATGCTTACAATATTTAACTCGATATTGCTAATTGGTATTGTATATAACGTGTGTTATTATTATTATTATTATTAATTTATAGATATTGTGTACATAGTGGTACAGTGTACAATTTGTATTTATGTTATGCTTATCAATATGTCCCTATCATGTCTGCATGTAAGTCCCTATCATGTATGTATGTAAGTCATGTCGTAAATAGACTAAAAATCTACCCCAACTTCAGTTGGGTAAAGGCTCCAATATAAGGTAAATGTCGATTTTTTGCATAAACCAAAACCGTCTAAAGTTGCTACTGAAATGAATAAAAGTTAGTTAAATAATAGTCCTTGTAGCGAAACTATCGATATGCATAATATAAATACGTACATAACAAATATTTTTCTAAATTAGTGTTTTAGTTTAAAAAGTATTGAATACTGTAACAATTTTGTGTGGGCGTAAATAAAATGTGTGAATTGTGTAAGTCTTATAAATGGAAGTTAAATGCATTGTAGATTACCAGTGACCGCGCAATGTACCATTCGCAGCTCATTCTTCTAATTCCGTATTATGACAACAAATACAGGGTGTTTTTGTACTTATCTTCTCTAAGAAAAAGTACAACAGAGGTACTTTTTCACCAATATTAAGATATTAAGGAACTAACGCCGCCCATGAACACCTGCAAGTTAAAAGTCACTACCCCCAGAAGTAAGGAGGGTTAAACTCCCCTGGGCTTGACCCTTCGGTAACCTTACTCAAGAGCAACGTGGTTTTCTGTGAAGTCTTGGTATCACTCCAGTTGAGTCTGCACATTTGTGTCGATGCATTTGGGTAGTAGCCTTGACATTGGGTATACATGACGATCCGTGGAGTGTCTGAAACTTGAAAGCGTAAAAATTAAACTTACTTTAAAATAAGTATGCATTGACTTCATGAAACAAATTAAATATAATAAGAACACGGAGTGTCACCATTCCTATTCATTCCGTGGGTGTAGTAAGTAGTAACTAATCGACCAAACAGGACAACAGCACTGCAAAGAGAAAGAAAACGTTAAAAAAATCCCTATACCACCAACAACACAATCTCCTTTCTAAGGAGGAGCCTATGTCCAGTAGTGGACTGTTATAGGCTGTTGATGATGATGATATGGGACTAATCCCACCCACACGCCCACCGCTGTAACTCCTGTGCACCAGGATCCACAGCAATGACCCACGAACACACCGAGTTATGACACTCGGGAAGTCCCAGGAAGAAATTAAACTGTCTTGGAACCCGCAACGAAATTAATCAGAAGAAAATTGGAGGAGTTGGAAATACAGTAAATCCACTTCCCTCCTTAGCAAAGCGGGAGACAAAATGAAGTAAAAAGGGCATACACCCTTTTAAACTGGGCAGCACCACGGCCACAAATATTACGGGTCCTACGTGAGCTATGTTTGATTTAGGTTGTGATGATGATGATAGCAATACTATACTCTTGTTCATTCGTCATGATTCTGACCTTGTTCACACCATATTTTTTTACGTGTGAAACCCCCCGGCCTGTCACCCAACTGGAGTTCGCGGCGGGGTGGTGTGAAAACCACACGGTGTGCCTGCGTCTGTAATAGGAGGGATCCGGGAACTGCTGTTATCAAGAAATCCGGACCCAACTTTGTTAACACCATTTTTTTTACTAACCCAGTATGTAGTCGGCTTTAGACAATTATAGGAACATTATATTACGACCTAAACAAATACCAATAAAGATCATTTTTCTATATATATAGTTATATATATAGTTTGAGCCTTTTGCGCGGTTGCCGTATACCTTCTCTATCTTTTCAATGAGATAGAATGAGAAGCATTATAATACTCATTGTCTCTCACAGTATTGTTACTCAAATATGCTTTGTCGTAGATTTGTAGTAAGTGTAGATATAAATATATTGGCATGGTACTAATATGTCCTTATCTCCTTGACCAACTGCCTGCCCCGGCAAGGGATCTGCTTCACGTGTATGTATGTATGTTTGTTCTAAAGCTCAATGCACAACTTCGTTCTATGAAAATTATGTTTCTGTTAAGAAGAGAACATGTCGTGAGTTTAATATTCTATTGTTATGTTATTCTATATCAACTGGACAAGTAGTCCGACGAGTCCGGCTTCGTAAACTGAAGTGCTTGCGTGCTCGCGTATGTTGTACGTGCATGCGTGCGCGTGTGTTTGCGTATATGCGTATGTGCGTGCGCGTGCGTGTAAAACATAATACATAAGTGGAGCAAATTACATTTTAAACAAACTTTTTGTTATTTCATTACGACCGTTATTATTTGTGTAACATTAATAAAGAACTTACTGTGTTTGAACTCATGTCTAGGTTTTTCTTTCTGTGAATGACTAAGACAAGGATATACAGTATATATCTTTGCATATTTTAATACCGCTGACTTTAAAGTTACTGAGTACAAAATCGTAATTACTAAAACCAATTGACTGCACGGATGGCGTAGTGTTGTGAGTCCGATCCCCACATAGGACGACGCTTTGTGTGATTCACAAATTGTTGTTCTAAGTCTGGGTGTTCTTTGTCTGTTTCATGTATGTTTGTAAAATCCCCCGCGACACAGGATATATTCCTAATTGTCTTTTAAAAAAAAAGGCTACTCTTCTGAGGACTGCTTGACCAGAAGTATATAGAATGCTGTTATGAAGTTGTCACTTTTGATCCACAAACATAATTTTGCTTATTTAAAATATTTACACCTACTGTTGTGACAATCTGAAGCTTAACGGTGAACAAAAATTTTATTTAATAAAACTGCATCGCCAACTTACAACTAACCCTCATACACATTATGTTCACACGGTAAAAGAAATACCTAGTCAGATTTACATGTGTGTGTTATTCGTGTAAGTATATTATTATTTACGTGTGTGTGAATTTTAACTCGTTTCTCCTCTGACACAATTGTAAATTATTACCATTATGCATTATTACTTTCAATTTCTTTAGTAATATGTAGTTTATAAAAATCACAGGTACTTCGTACTAAGTATTTCGTTGGAGAGTGTACCTCAGCTCAGTGTGTCAACCTTTTAAGTATACCTACTTTGTTTAACATCCCACTAATAAAAATATTGACATTAATAATCACAAATCACATGTAATAACCTATTTTGTACCTGACATGAAATTAGAAACATGGTTCATAATGCTTATTTTCTTCCATGATTTCATGTTTTACTTTCAAATCGTACAATCGAACTCAAAAAGATTTGTTATCTTTTTTTCTACACTCAGCAATTTATTTTTATATCATTTAGCAAATTACATTAAAAAAAATTATGGCTTAGTAACAATTTTATTGTTACTAACAATAAAATTGTTACTAAGCCATAATTTTTTATAGCCATAAAAAATGTATTGATTTTTAAATTGCAAAAAATATTATACCACCATTAACCTCTGTAAAAGAAGCAGTTTTCAGTGCTTCGTTTGGAAATGAAACACACAGGATAAGATTCCAAAATCGAATTTTACATTACAAACATAAACATTCATTCGTTCATTCATTCAACATATCTACCTTCTCCTACTTCTACTGATGTAATAAAAACCAGTCAGTAATTCTTACCTCTCGCTCTTACACTCGTGTCCAGGGTCCACCTACGAAGATGTGCGACAAGGACCGGTGCGCCGTCATCGCCAAGCAACTCAACGACTTTCTGTACATGTACTACAGAGAGACGGACCTCTATACCGACAGCGAAGACAAGGAAGGCTGCGTTTCCAATATACATTTCGCTCAATTTCTGTATTCGGCTAGGTAAGTGTCTTATCTACGTATCATAATATCGGGTACTGTGTCCCGGCCTTAGGTAAGCTGTTATTGGCTACTATTAACTTTAACAACACTCACAAGGATTGTTGTTAAAGTTTTTTTCTCCATTTCTCGTTAAGTAGACACCCGTACAAAAAGCACATTACGTACATACTGATATTCGTAGTTTTATTGACAGTGGCAACACTGCCGCGGTCGCAAGAGGCACTTCCCTATCCAAAAAACGAATATAAATCCATGTCTTTTTCTAATTTATCTGTATACACAGAGAACAATTCTATTAAAAAAAAGTTGTTTATATCTAGATACAACGTAATGATAAATATAAAACCTAGCGCCATCTAGTAAAGTTTCGCCTAACGACTTCGTAACTACTGAACCTATATCACACAATTGAGGTTAGGATTAACTGATATACGCCAAGCATGATAAAGATCTTACCGTGCGTAAACTGCACACATTCTCTTCGTCTTCGATAAGTTCCTTTTATTTTTCTCTTTCTAGAATCAATAAGTCCGCCTTAGTACTGTATGTATATTGAGTTATAATAAATAAAATCAGACTCCAATTCCAAGTAGTTTTTTAAAAAAGGAGAGTGAAAAACACTCAACTTAAACTTCATTCAGCAATATATAATTTTGCAGTGAGGCCGACCTAGAAGATGTACTCCTCCTTCAGCTGAAGATGGAGAACTACCAGACGACATTCCTGGGCGATCCTCGGAACATGTTCTGCGTGGACCTGCCGCCCGCCAAGCTCTGCGTGGAGCCGCCTGCGAGACACACGCTACTGAAGCACCTCGCCTGGTTGTCACCAATCAACACTAGGAAATATAGGTATAAACCTTACCTAGACAAATGAGCAGGTTCTTCGAGACTTGCAGGTTTATTTAAAACTTAAGTTGGCAAACGAGCAGACGGGTCATCTCATGGTGAGCGACTACCACCGCTCATTGAAAAAGGGTTGGCGCTGTTTTAGTTTTAGGGAGGGTTGGAACTCCGGTAACCTTCACTCACTCGATGAAAGAGCAACGATAGATTTGCTTATCAGCGGTTTTATGTGAGGCTGTGGGATCACTCGTTCCAGCCCATTTGTGCTCTCCGGCTCTCCCCACGGTTATGTATGTTGGTACATGACAAAATAAAGATGATATTTAACCCTCGTCGTAGACTAAAAAATAAAAAGGATTTATTTCCATTAACTCGACTTAACTTAATTACAAAAATTGTTGGAGGACTCCTTTTAATCATAATATTGCCTGTGTTAGGAGGCTCCGCTCTTCCATATATAGGTAAGTATGGTAATTAAGATTTAACAAGGTATTTATACTTGGTGAATATAAAAAAGGAAAAAACTATAACTATATAATAACGTGAAGAGTAGATCTCTTCGTATGTCAGTATGTGTGTGTATACTATACTAAAGCGAGTGTGGTGTCTTCATTCTCAGATATGAATGGGCGTGCTGGATCGCGAACGCTGCGAAGATGGGGTACTGTAATATAATTGTATAATGGGTGTGCTTCAAATTGTTTATTTTTTTGAGCATTTTTGTCACGGGGCTACTAATATACTAAAACTTTTTTTTCTTATACATAGTGAACAGATAAAAATGTGTAATTTATCCGTTCGGCTGATATTGATTTTGCATGCAGTTTTATTTTAGTTGTTTGTCCAACAAATTTAAAGTTTTTTTCATGCACGAAATTTACAGTTAGTAGTTGCAGGCTTGATTAGAGTTTATTGTTGTTGTATTACTAACGTGTACATTAACAGGAATGTTCGATTATTTTCCGACCCTTCATCAATGACGCGTTTAATTGCTACGGTGTCAGACATTGCACTGAATTTTTAACGCCGCCATTTTTGTCTTTTTGTCTATAGGTTTTGGGTCTTTTATCTATGTGCTCTAGCTTTGGGACGATTATGTTTCTGTTCTGTTCTAAGAGCTTACGTGTGTTGCAGTTTCTTTTTTAATATGCAAATATTCGTGGCTATAAGGACACGGCCTGTCCCATGTTGAGTTTACCTCTTAAGCGCCAGAACTGAAAATATTTTTTAACTAATGTTACGTGTAGTAGAAGACGAGCGAAGATTCGCGCTTTTATTTCTAACCTGCGTTTTTGTAATTACCTAACATTTGGACTCCTCTGCCTCTGTAATTATTGACCTGAGATAATTTTTTTGCAAAGAAACTGTTAATAAAGATGGCGTCCACTAGATCAACATTTTTTTCGGGAGCTCAGTAGTTCCCTTACTTGTCTCTATAGGATTGAGTGTGTTATAGTCCCTAAAAATCTGATCATAAAATACCTTCTTTACTTTAACGGCAAAAAAATAATATAATCAAATTTCGGCACTAAAATGACACTATTGTTCTATAATTTATAGACAAAAATAATTTATTCCAAAATTAAAAATTTTTCTTCTGTTACAGACCGTCACTAGAGGCTTCAACTCGGGAAACAGACGACTCGTCGGAACTACCTCCCCCTTCACCCACCTCCAACTCCGACGTGGTCGTGAAAGATTCTTTGAAAGAAGAAAAACCCCTCACACAAGCACTGAGATACGCCCGTTCATAGCGACAATATAGATAAAATATAGATTTATACATTACGTATGAAGGTATACAGGAAAATTATTAATAAAACCATGGTTTCTAGATATATTTTTGACAACAAATCAATTCAAAATGCGTCGGCATTATAGTTCCTTTATTCACCGATTAAACGGTGCATGGTTTATGAGAAAGATATGTAATAGTACAAAGAAAATACTCAAAATTGGTGTGTCATTGACGCGCCGAATGCTCTTCGAGTTGAATAGTTTACACGTGTTAGGGACAGATTCTTGTAACATTGTAGCACTTTTGTTTTGTATTATTTTCTTATCTTTATTATGTTGAACTTCTTTTTAACTTTGATTCAAAGTTAGTGGAAGGTAACTTGGAACTACTAGAAGTTTCTTATCACCAGGAATAGTAGAAGAACCCTGTTGATCTTTTTATCCCTGTTTGATGATGTTGATAACTGAAGAGTCTATGTATTCTAACATACATTCTTCATCCTGATTAGTTTTATTTGTTACTTAATTCAAATAATGGTTGGTTGTAACAATTACTATGTAATATCTTTCGTATATACCTTCAGACGTAACATTTTACTTACCTTTGCTAGTCTGTGTCGCTAGATATTAGATAGATAGCCTTGTCATTCCTCGACTTTTCTTCTATTAATTTCCAAATTAACACTATTTACAATTAAATTCAATTACGAGTAAACGTATTTTAAGATTTTGCATGTCACAATGTACAAAAACAGTTAAGCTAAATATAAGAAAATGGCTGCCATTGTTAGAAAACTACAAAAACTGTCTAGAATAAAAAACAGTTACCGAATTATCCACTAAATCAAAACCTACTGCTAAATTTATGTCTAAGCCACCAAAATGAAACATCTATACTTAACAAATACAATTCACCAACTGTTATAGTCATATTGTCAATTGGTAGAAGTGTCCAATTACCCTCTTTTCATTCATACTAATGTCAGTTATAATTTAATTAAGATCTATAGTATCACGCCATCTGTTGGTGTTCCCATAGCACTATATCACTCCACTGAAACTGACGAATCTTTTTCGTAATCCGTCTCATATAATATAATGCAAGTTGCAATTAATTTTTAAAACACAAATTCATCCTCTAAATACAATCAAATCCCCCTGCTTTACTCGTAGTCCCCAAAGCACAATTGCTTGTAGTTTAAATTTGTCTTAACATGTGAGTTCCGTAGTACCAAAGAATTTCGGCTGTTTCATAATAAATTACATAAGTATATTGACCTCATATACAGCGATTTAAATAATAATAATGTCTATTTCAATCCCACAGTTACAATAAAAATATTTTCAAAAAACCTTATATAGTTACTAGGATTCCAACCACGTTTGTTACACTTATAAAGGATCTCAAAAGTTAAGAAAATGCAACCCTAACGTTGTGAAAAGCTAGGAGTTAAAGATAATTTCTAGGTGAATACAATTGTAGGTGATTAGCGCTGTGAGACCTGAATTGCACTCTATTGTGTCGGAACTAGAGTTGCTATTTCCTTAATAATTTTTTCTAAAGTAGCCTGCGCAGTAATGCTCAGGCTACCTCCTGTGCTCACAGCCTCTGTTTATGAGATATTCGTTTAAAAAATATACCTATTGCAGTGTTCAATGTTACCCTAACGTGGGAACACACTTAGTCTAATGTCCAAAAAGGTAGGACACTTAGTTTCTTCTGGGTTCTTCAAGGCGTTTAGTAGTGAAGCCGACCAAGTCCGTGTCTGATACAGAATTCACAATAACACTCGGGTGCTTTTAGGATACAAAGTCTTTAGCATACAATTGTAGGAGGCCGTACCTACTTGAGTGGCCTAAGACATTACGTTATTTACAAATCTCACCTCACGGATCTGATATGTTATTAAATTTACATAAAAAAAACTCCTAATTTGACCTGATCATGATGTCATTAGTCACTTAAATTCAGGGGTGAATCCAGCTTTGAACTTAACCCCCCCCCCCCTCCTCCTGATTTTTGAGTCAGAACTTCCAAAGCTTTAAGTTGATTAGTTACTTAACATTGTGTTAAAGTCGCGTGTATCGCTCATGGGGGTTAAGTCATTTTTCCGCACAGATCCGCCCTTATTACAATTAGTTATATAGGTATTTACTTCTTTTTTTTAATAAAAGAAGAACGAATAGTTATACCACATTGTTCGTCAAACTTTAATGATAATTTTTAGTATTATTTTTGCGAGTGCCTGTTCCGCATTTCGTGAGATACTATACCTAGACTGATTGCGTTATTGTGCCTATGTGATTTTAATTCAACTATTGGTTACGTGTTCTCATCTGATGTGCACTTAATATTTGCAATAAATTAAATTTATGTATACATTTTTGGATTGGAACCAGATTGTCGCCCGAGATATTTATGTTGAAATGTTTATGAATTGAAATATTAAGTACATTGAGCCCCGTTTTCACTAGGGGACGTTTTTGTGGTATTTGTCACCCGACATGAAATAGACATGTCCCATAAAATTCCACGCGATGTCGTCTACATTTGCGGATCGCGGAACCTTTCATGACCCTGGACAGGCTCCCATTAGCTTATAACTAATGAGGGCGACTTTGTGTTCTGTGAAACACAGGGCAAATCTTAGTGATAACTGGATATGTTGGACAAGGCTGAAAGTGACTACTTGGTTTAGAGAGTCTATATGCAATAAAACAAAGTAGTTAAGTATTCAATATCAAAGGTTCAGTATGAATGAAAAGGTATGGAAGAATTTGGGAATCGAATAATTATATCGAATTAAATGTTTAATATATTCGTATGAGGATTAAAGCGAGACGCGTACTGTAAAGCCTTAACTTATGAGTATAGTGATGACCCCATGCTAGTCTACAAAGTCACTATGGACTGCGCGCCAAAGCAAAAAGCACTATTTATTTTTATATTTAGATTAGTTTTAGCAATTTATTTTTGCAGTGAGACCGTCTAAATCGATGGCAAACCAAATTAAAAAAGAATAAATATTCTGTTTCTTCTATCTGTGAAAAATATACTACTAAAAAAATTATATAGAGTATTAAAAAAACAAACATGGGAATATGTTAAACCGTCCACTGCGCATGATTGAATTTTATTTATGAATCTCATGGAATTATAATCTCAACACATATTTATAACAAGTATTAGTAGATTTAAGCGAGCTCCTTCGGCCTTTATAGTATTTTCCGACTGCCGGATTGTCTGTGTAGCTCTGATATACCTACCTCCATCTAATGTGTGAATCTCATAGTATGGCAAACTGGAAATGTAGTTTTTATTTTAGTTTGTATTTTTTAAACCGGGTTCTAAAATGCACAATGAATAATAAAATTGTGAACTTATAGTTTACTTAGCACAAACCATGATTCTGAATGACATAAATACTAACTAAACAGGTATGTCATAACAATTCACGAATTCGAGAAATCTTATTTAATATAATTTTTGTTGGCAGCTGGGCTGGTTTAGGTAATTATTACTTATCTTACTTACTTATAAATGTCACAACATACTTATACGGTGATGTTCAAAGAAACCATAAAACCTTAACCATCTTAAACTTTTAGTTAGCATTTGAAAATGATGAAGTTGTGCTTTTTTAAGCTTCTAAATTATACTAGTCTCATAGCCGAAATATATAATCAGTGTACCTAAATATATAGTTGCTGCACTCATCCGAGTGTAAGCTTCGCTTCAGTACAAATTGTGAACTAGGGAGAATAATACCCTCACGCAACATTTTAATCTCATGATGTGAAAATATATTTTGAATAAGCTAAATAAAAGTTTAAAATACTATACTGTTTTATTACACCTGTACCTACACTTCTATAAATAATAATGGCAAAAATTATCTAAATTCATTTCGCGAGAAAACTCTTTTAAATAGTTGTGTTAAGAAAGGAATATCTGTTATTATAATAAAATGGTAATATTCCAGAACCATTAAGACCTTTCTGGTAGTTGTTTGCAGGCCCCTCTTTCCCACTGGGCACTCTGGGTACGTGCCCAGGGCCACTCGATACTAGAGGCCCCCTAATTCCTACCTACCTAATTCGATAATCGATATTTATTACCGAAAACCATATTTATTTAAAAAAATCCAGCGAAAATGGCTGATTATAATACCTTGTTTGGCTATTCTATCACAGACACTTCCTCATTATCCCAATGTGCCCAGGCCCTCCGATAGGCTAAAGACGGCCCTGGTTAATTGCCAATAATTACATTTTGTATCATTTTTGCTGGTTGAGCGCCTAGTATGGTCACTCTGACAGATCTATAGTTAGTGACCTTGTAACAGTTATTTTTTTAGGATATTTGTATTGCGTACGGAGTTGCCAAAAGCGACATCTATTGCCTGCGTCGCATGTACTTGATTTATCCTAGGTAGTTTATAGCTACAGTATTGATTTTCTTCGTTCGCCGTCGGACCACTAGATGGCGTTTGTTTGTAGATAAGTCATTTTTTTATCATGACAAATTGTATAGGTATTAAGAGTGTTTTGTTATGGTAGGAAGCGAGTTACTTTTGATTTTGTTCGTGTTAACCTCGTTGATAATTTAAATGTCAAAGTAAAGTGTTGAGTAGGGGTTGGATTCGCTCGGACGTCGACGAAGCAACACCTCTCCGCAGCTCCCGAAGACTCACGAAGCCTGACGAAGTTGCCCGAAGCTGTTGCTGCCTGCACGGAACCGTTTTTCTTTGCCTCCCGGCCTTAGCCGAGTGTTCGCAGGAGACGTCCGCCCACCGATGCAGTGGCAAACAAGCACAACAGTGCTGATATAATTGTGGGTCGACCACAGCCCAATTTGGTTTTCAGCAGTGAATCTGTTGTGTTTGTTTGCAACCCCGTGTGACCCCTGCGCCGCCCGGCTCCGGCCGAGCGACAACCACAGACCTCCTAGGACAGGCCGCGCGCTTTCTAGCGCCAGCTATGCCCAGGAGACGTACCAATAACCCAAGGAGGGTGA